ACACCCCTATTTCAGACAATTACACTAAAATTCCTCATATCATATCATTACATCATATCAGCTAGCAGCCACCAAAAATGGACTCATTCCTTATTCACCCTTATTGCAACACCCAGTGTCCTGTGGCCATGAATTCACACTCCCTCTCCAAGGGAACATCACTCCTTCTCCCACACCTCTCTCTCACCTGCACTCCCACACCGGCAGCCCGAACAGTCATCTCCTTGACATCCTACTCATTACTCAGCATGTGTGGTGTAGTGACTGCTTGGCAAATTCAAACAGGAATAAGTTCTACATCAACTCTGAGAGTCCACCCTCATTGAGGCAGCCTTGAGTCCTGCTATAGAGGCCTACTGCCTGACTGTGTTTTCCTTCAACCTCACCTATTGAGAACCACATCACGTCTTAGATATCCAGAGCCCACCTCCACCAGCGCTGCACATGATCTCCCATCCCCAGTCACAGCCCTCACCACTCAAGTGTCATGGCCGATGGCCCTCTACCCCTGTTGTATTAAAAAACAGCGAGCTGGACAAGATGCCTTAATGAGCCTGTTAGGAGTCATCTCTATTGCGTGCAGGTTCAGACCAGAATACGTCCATCAAATTCTGAACACCCAAAGGAGGAAAAATTGTCTTTTATATCTTTCTTAGGCCCTTGTGTCAGTTATTTTTGTAGACAGCTTGTAACCTGGAGTACATATCATATCTACCAAACACCTGTCCTATCTATACAGACACCTGTAACCTTGAGTATCATAACTATTCAGGCACCTGCCATCAATATCAGTATATCAGTGAGATGGCTAGCAGGCAAGGTCAGGCAATTAAGTTTATCTTTTCTATTCAAGCAACAAGCAAAGTTATTTTACAGTCTGAAAATAACAGAGTTGACCTACAGAATAAGAGATTGTCTAAGCATCACAGAGTAGTTCAAACAGCAGTTTTCCAAAGGAGGGATTACTATGCTTCACCCCATGCCCAGTGAGTCTCACAGATGGCCACTCATGCCCCTAAGCAAATCAGCCAGACTGAGTGCAACATCCCAGGCCCCACCAAGACTCAGAGAATATTCCTGGTGAGTGTTCAATAAGTAAATATGCACCAGCCCCAATCTCACCTTGTTTCCATGGCCCTAGGGCAGCCGTGGGCAAACTACAGCCCGCGGGCCGATCCGCCCGTTTGAAATGAATAAAACTAAAAAAAAAAAAAGACCGTACCCTTTTATGTAATGATGTTTACTTTGAATTTATATTAGTTCACACAAACACTCCATCCATGCTTTTCTTCCGGCCCTCTGGTCCAGTTTAAGAACCCATTGTGGCCCTGGAATCAAAAAGTTTGCCCACCCCTGCCCTAGGGCCTCAAATTAAAATCCGATGATGATCTACAACTCCTCTCTGGTCCAGGCGGTCTTCACTCCTTTTGAGAAGTGTTCATCTTGAACAACTTCTCCGAGTTCCAGATGCTCTTTAACTGCTCTCTGAAATATCTCACACCCTAACAGGCCAAAATCAGTGTTTGTTTGTTTTTATCTGCAATGAACATAAACCTTCCTACTATGAATGTCCTTATGCCAGATGATGCTGCTTCCATATCCCCAGATGCTAAATACAAACCTTCATCTCATCTCTCTTCTCTCTCTCTCTCTCTCTCTCTCTCTCTCTCTCAACTTCAAAATTAGAAAATCCATGTGGCCAGGCCTAAAATACCAATCCCGGATCCAACTGTGTCTTCCATCTCCATTGCTACCATCAGGGGCCAGTTACCAACACACTCTCCCAGACCAATATTCAGCAATTCGCCACTCTCGGGACACATGCGGCTCTTTGGCCCATTGAGTTTGGCTCTTACACAAAATACCACATTGGGCTCCCACGTACAATGTGATTGAAACTTCGTGGCCCATACACAGGGGATGGATTTAGGCCTGGGCGAGTCTATTTTGAAGAAGTGGTGTTAGAAAAATTGGAGGCTGTCGGATGGGTGATGGGAGACACAGCGCAGGCAGAGGGGCCAAAAGATATGCAGCACAGGGGAGGCACATGATTCATGCTCGAGTTGAGGATGGGAGAGTTGGAAGGGGTTGACCTCAGTGAATGTACCTCAGTCATATTGAGGACGTTTATAGCAAAGGCCAGTTTAGGAGTACCCAAATTAAGTAAATTACAATGTACCTACCCATATAGTTTAAGTTTAAAAAATTTGGCTCTCAAGAGATATTTCAATCATTACACTGTTGATATTTGGCTCAGTTGACTAATGAGTTTGCCACCACTATCCCAGATGATCTCACCACCTCCCTCTCACCCATATTGCTCCCCATGCTGAAGCCACAGGGCGTCTAATGAGACCTGAGTCAGACCACCTGCCTCCGCTGCTCCAAATCTCCCATTGCCCCCATCACCTGCAGAACAGACAACCTTGTTCTCACAAAGCTCCTCTAGACCTGACTCCACTCCCATTCTTACCTGTTCCCATTAAAGAGAAAAGCATTCCTGCAGGTTCCTGAACCAGCTGTCTTCACTCTGAGCCTCTACCACATGTGAAACCTGTGCCTGGAAGGACCTCCTACATCTCATTCCACTGTTTGCCAGAAAAACATGGACCACTTCATACAACCTTAGTCGTGGACTTAGGATTCTGGACTGAGTATCTGCAGGTCCCAGGGCAGGAGGAGAGGTGGACAGCCCCAGGACACCACGACCTCAGAGTCCACGACAGTTAGAGGCCCTAAAATTAACTCCACAACCCAGACCCTGCGTGGCTCTGCACCTGCAGGAATCTGTGGGAACTAAAAATTTGTTGAGGGCCTGGCCCCCACCCCAGGACCCAGGGGCTCAGGCTGCTCAGGGCCCTGGCCAAGCCCTGGTGCTGGGTTATGCCTGCATCCCTCCAGGGCTCGGTCCTCAGTGCACACTCTTGTCAAGTTCCTTATTTTTCAAAGGACTCCTCCTTCCCACCCCTAACTGCTCTCCTCTCCCTTTTAAGGTGTGATTCTTATCAGCAGTTTGGGGAAATGTTTAGAACCCTACCTCAGACAGCGTCCCTCTGCTGTTTACAACCACCCATGGCCCCAGCGTCCTGAGGATGAAAGTAAAACTCCTCACACAAAACTTTGCCTCATCTTCTTTGTTGCCTTTAAACACAAAACAGGCCTGGGTTTCCCGAGTCCTCACAGCTCAGCCACACACCCACGGCCTGACTGAGCGGTATTGCAGCCCGTCACCCTCCTTCACCCCATCACATGCTGTGTCACCTACAAGCTACTCACTGTTCTGGGTGCTGGGATGCGAGCTGCAGGGCCTGACAGCGTGGTAGGATGGAGGGTAAATGGGGTGAGGCTGAGTTGACCTCAGTGAGCAGAGAGGAGACCGGGAAGCATGGAGACCTCAATCCCGCCTGCTGCAGGTCAACAAGCCTCAGACACCCCCTGCACAGCGGGGACGCTGCCTCTGACGGCTTGTCCTAGTCCTGATCCTGCCCGCTGGGCCCTCTGAGTTGATAGAACGAGGAGGTGAAACTGACCACCAGGAGGACTAATCTGGGAGTCACGCCCAAACCAATGAGCTCCAGGCTCTTGCGCCTCACCTGGGCTTTCATTGGCTAAACGCAGCCATCATTAGGCGCATTGCCCTTTGGGTAAGGTACTTTTCCAGGTGTTGCAGGTGGCATTAGGATCCCAGTCACTGGCTGGCCATTGAGAATATTGGTATTGGGGCACCCGAATGGCTCTGGGAAATGAAAACCTTAGGTTTTGGTGGCTGGTGGCAGGGTTATGGGGAGTGTTGTCTGCAACTGAGCCCTTATTTGGAGATATTATTTCAGACTCCATGAAGCTCAGAATGATCCCTGAGGTGAAAAATATGTCAATTATTCCTTAGGACCTGAAATCGAAATGGATATGTACATAGTTACTGTTTTTTAAATTGTATTTTAAGAGAGAAAATGAGAGGTAGAGAGAAAAACACAGGTGGGGTGCCTCCTCAACACCCTTACCCACCATCTGGGCATCCAGCCAGGAACCTGTCTTGTGACTTCACGAAGAATTGCAACCTTTGTGTACATGGGAGGACTCTCAAACAATGGAACCACTCTAGCACTCAGATTTTTTTTTTCATTATCATTTTATAAAATATATTTTATAGATTTTTTACAGAGAGGAAAAGAGAAGGATAGAGAGTTAGAAACATCGATGAGAGTGAAACATCTATCAGCTGCCACCTGCACACCCCCTATTGGGTATGTGCCTGGAACCAAGGTGCATGTCCTTGATCAGAATCAAACTCGGGACCTTTCTGTCTGCAGCCCAATGCTCTATCCACTGAGACAAACAGGATAGGGCCAGAGTTTTTACTTTTAACAGAAAAATAGCACATTATTAAGAAAAAAATAAGGCTGTGAGAATATATACATAATTCTATCCTATTTGCTTAAAAGCAATATTTGAAATGA